ACAACAACTCCTTGACTGTTCTTGAATGGCCCAGCCAGAGCCCTGACTTAAACCCCATTGAGCATCTCTGGAGAGACCTGAAAATGGCTGTCCACCAACGTTTACCATCCAACCTGACAGCACTGGAGAGGATCTGCAAGGAGGAATGGCAGAGGATCCCCAAATGCAGGTGTGAAAACTTGTTGCATCATTCCCAAAAAGACTCATGGCTGTATTAGCTCAACAGGGTGCTTCTACTAAATACTGAGCAAAGGGTCTGAATACTTATGACCATGTGATATTTCAGTTTTTCTTTTTTAATAAATCTGCAAAAATGTCAAAAATTCTGTGTTTTTCTGTCAATATGGGGTGCTGTGTGTACATTAATGAGGAAAAAAATGAACTTAAATGATTTTAGCATATGGCTGCAATATAACAGAGTGAAAAATTTATGGGGGTCTGAATACTTTCCGTACCCACTGTGTATATATATATAACGATTATTTGACTAATCAAAAAAATGATCATTAGATTATTCGTTAGAAAAATAATCGTTAGCAACAGCCCTAAAACCAAAGAATCGGTGCATCATCAGTGGAGCTGTAAGAGTGATCCGAGGTCTTATTGTGACCAAAACTGTCAGCTTTGACAGACTCAAATCACCCCTGTTGATATAGCTGCTTTGTTAATAAAAAGTGTAGGCCAAAGATCAAATGAGAATTTTTGAGCTCTGTGTCCAGGTATGATCACTCAGCAATGTTTGAGCTAATAAACAAAAATTATGACATAGGAGTCCATTAAGTGTTCAGAGCTACCAGTATATTAACACACATGACAAGGCAAACATGAAGAAACCCCAATCTACAATCATTCTAAGGTCATTTTAAACCACTCCTCCACAGACACACACAGATATGGGCCCAGTGTTGCATGCTCAAACATGCACACAACAGCACTGCTGCTCAGTTCAAAAACTCTAGAAAACTAAACTCATTAAGAATTTTTTTTATCTTTGATTAAGAAACAGATTTTCTCATCAATCACTGATTTGCATAAGAGATGAAAAATGATTGTACAAAATGCACAGGCCCATGCTTACAATTTCAAATGTCCTAGTCCCAAAGATACCTAGTATACCATGACAGAAAAAACATTTCAGCTCTAAAGCATTAAAATCTAACTTTAGCCACGTGGGAACAGGATCCATCTTTACCTGGGAGATGTAGTCGAACACAGAGCTGGGCTCATAGTGCGACTTGTAGTCTAGCTCCGTAACATCGGCATGATGAAATGGGCCCAAGTGGTGGTCGTCATTGTGACCGTGATGCTCCGACTTGATATAGTCAAGGCCACTGATCTCCATCTTGATCTGATCCTGGCCCAGCTCTGCAGTGGACAGTGGCTGAATCTCAGACAGGTCAACAGTCTGGATGGGCTCCAGGTCTCCATCCTCTGGCTCACTCTTCACACAGGGCAGCATCACCAGTGGCTCGGCAATCTCTGCCGCCAGCGAGCTAAGTGTAGGTGTCGGGCAGTCGGAGGTGAGGAGCGCTAGAGTGGGTGTTGGGGTTGATGAAGCAGGCCCCGTGCCACAGTCCACCTGCAGGGAGGGGTCCAGAGGCGGGGGAGGGGAGCCACATTCAGGAGGGAGGCCGAGGGTCAAACACTCAGACTCCAAGTCTGTCATGGTGAGGGGCGGAGCTAATCCTCCTCACCTCACTCTGTTCAACCACCTTATTGGTATTGCTGAGGTTATGAAGTCCACCTTCTTCTACTTCTTCTCTTCCTTCTCCCTGCCTCCCCATCCACACCCCCCTCTGCTGCAGAAGAGAACTATCAGACCTGAGAGGAAGGCCTGGGAGTTGAGGGGTGTGTCCCTGAGAGCCTCTGCTAGGAGTCCAACAACTGGTTGTGGAGGTCAGTGAGACGCCCTGAGGACCTGCCTATATAAAGATAGATAAGATAATGGTAAGATTTAAACCAGGCAGACACTGTGCATTTTAATAATCTCACATACTGACTGAATTACACATTTTGATCTTCCTTTCTGCACCTCCGACTTTTATGTTTACACACCACATTGATTAAACGATAAACATAAGTACGAAACCTCCAGTCAGTTTATGCAGGAAAAAAAATCCTATAGTTTGTTCAAACAAGATGACCACATCCACAGTGCAAACTGATTCAGACTAGATTAACTACAACATATAAAATACTACAGTTTGACTGCAGCTGTCAGAAAAATCTGGAGTTGCTCAAACTGCACACAGATGACCAATCAATCAACAGCCAGATTGTTTGAAATTTTAATTTGGGGGTGATCAATTCAAGTATCTGTACAGTGGCAGTGCAGAGATTTCTAACTCAAATTCACCTACTTTAAAGATACACAAACAAAAGTCTGAATAGGTCAAAACTCCAGCCACACTTGGATAAAGATTAAATTAAAATGTATTCTACAGTATTTATAGTACAAGAAAATTACTATTATTTATTTTGCTGTGACATTTAGATTAAATGTTGTAGATTTAGAGGCTACAAAACACTACCAACATCTATTTCATTAGTACAAACAGGGATGTACCAACCTAATCCCAAAATAAAACTGATTTTATATTTTTAAAAGAGACCTCACATTTTTCATGAGGAAGAAACATGCCACCCAGTGCAGCAGTGTGGCTCACCCATGTTTTTAGTCATTTTTGGACAACAGTTAGTGTCTCTGGCACAGACAAACAAGGTACACAAGGTGGAGTCACAGACATTACAGTGAGTAAACAAAATCCATTGTTGGATTTAGTCTCTGCGTGGGATTTGTGGAAGAGAATAAATAAATCACCAGAACACAGAATTCATTAGCCTTATCCTTAAATCTAATCATTTTTATATTTTTAAATCAGGACCTTCAGAGTTTGGAGCCATCAGCTTGTGAACAATAAGGTAAGCTAAGTAAGGAGTCTAGATCTGCAAATTCCATGTGTCAGACATATATTTAACTTACTTTTGGGTAAATATACAGTCACAAGAAAAAGTATTGGCACCATTTGCAATTTTCTGGTTTTCTGCATAAATTGGTCATGAAATGTGATCTGATCTTCACCAAAGTCACTAATATCAAACAATATTTCTAAGCTACTAAAAACACAAAGTCATGATCTTCGATTTCTTTACTGAACACACTAAAGTGATGGTGGAAAAAAATGACAACATGAGGCTTTTGATGTCACTAAATGTTACCTGGAATCAGGTGTTAGCAAACCTGGAGTGCAATCAATGAAACAAGAATGGAGGTGTGGGTTAGAACCACCTTGACATATAAAACACTCAAACAGTGACAGTGTGCCATTTACAAGTAACACTGGCTGATGTGAGCCATGCCACGAAAAAAGGAGATATCAGAAAACCTACGATCTAAGAGTTGCTGATTTACATGTAGCTCGAAATTGTTAGTCATCTGAAAGACTTTAGATATTCATCAGTCCACAGTTAGACATACCGTCTATAAATGGAGACAATTTGGTGCTGTGGCTACTTTCCATAAAAGTGGGCGCCTGGCCAAGATCACTCCAAAGGCACAATGCAGAACGCTCAATTAGGTAAAGAACAACAGTTAAAGACTTGAAGTCAAGTTCATTGAAGTTGTGTAACATCTCTGTTCATGAGTCAACCATATGCAAAATATTGAACAGGCATGGTATCCATGGCAGGACACCACAGAGAAAGCCACTGCTCTAAAAAGCAACACTGCAGCATGCCTGAAGTTTGCCAAAGACCAACCTAACGCCGTTGGGAAAATGTCCTGTGTTCAGATGAAATGATGGTAGACTTGTTTGGGAAGAACACACACCACTACAAGCAAAGAGAACAACATACAAACATGAAAACATCATCCCAACACTGACGTACGGTGGAAGGGGCTGCTTTTCTGCCTCTGGACCCCTTGGCATTATGGAGGCGAAGATGAACTCCCAAGTTTATCAAGGTATCCTACAGGATAATGTCAGGGTGGCTGTCAGCAAGCTGAAGCTCAGAACAGCCTGGATGATGCAGCAGGACAATGACACTAAACATTAAAAGTAAATTTACTACAGAATGGCTTCGGAGGCAAAATCTGCCTTTTGGAGTGGCCCAGTCGGAGCCCAGACCTCAATCCAATAGAGATGCTGTGGAACGACCTCAAGAGAGCTGTTCACACCAGAGGTCCTAAGAACATGGTTGAGCTGAAGCAGTTCTGTGACGAAGAATGGTCCAAAATTCCTCCTGAATGTTGTTCAGGTCTAATCCAAATCTACAGGAAGCACTTGATTAAGGTTATTGCCACCAAAGGTGGTTCAAACAGTTATTAAAACACTGTTGACATTACTTTTTCCACCAACACACACACACAGTGGGTACGGAAAGTATTCAGACCCCCTTAAATTTTTCACTCTTTGTTATATTGCAGCCATATGCTAAAATCATTTAAGTTCATTTTTTCCCTCATTAATGTACACACAGCACCCCATATTGACAGAAAAACACAATGTTTGACATTTTTGCAGATTTATTAAAAAAGAAAAACTGAAATATCACATGGTCATAAGTATTCAGACCCTTTGCTGTGACACTCATATTTAACTTAGGTGCTGTCCATTTCTTCTGATCATCCCTGAGACGGTTCTACACCTTCATTTGAGTCCAGCTGTGTTTGATTATACTGATTGGACGTGATTAGGAAAAGCCACACACCTGTCTATATAAGACCCTACAGCTCACAGTGCATGTCAGAGCAAATGAGAATCATGAAGTCAAAGGAACTGCCTGAAGAGCTCAGAGACAGAATTGTGGCAAAGCACAGATCTGGCCAAGGTTACAAAAAAAATGTCTGCTGCACTTAAGGTTCCTAAGAGCACAGGGGCCTCCATAATCCTTAAATGGAAGACGTTTGGGACGACCAGAACCCTTCCTAGAGCTGGCCGTCCGGCCAAACTGAGCTATCGGGGAAGAAGAGCCTTGGTGAGAGAGGTACAGAAGAACCCAAAGATGACTGTGGCTGAGCTCCAGAGATGCAGTCGGGAGATGGGAGAAAGTTGGA